GTTCAGAATTAGATTAAAGATCGCCCTATTTCAGAATTTTTTTGAAAAACACCCTATCTCAGAATTTGGTTGAAGAACGCCCTATCTCAACTGAAAATACATGGAAAATGTGATAGCATTTTCGTAGATTTCACAAAAAATCGGACTACGATAGATTTTGTGATAGCCATGATAACCATCTTCACGACCTTTCGCCTATAGATGCCGTTATCGTTATTATTATTGCTCTAATGGAATCAGTCTGCAAAATTTCTGATGTTAAAGTCACCCTTATCCTAACGAATGTCGGGAATCTGTAGGTTTTCCACATTATGCTAACCATCGAGCGACACCTCCTCCCTTTGGTTCCCCTGAAACACAAAAAGACATTTTATGCTTGCACATTTTTACATACATATATAAAATAGCGTATAAAACGCTTGAGTGTATTTATTTATATTTTTTGTGTCCACTAGAAAATATTATAAGCAATTCATGAAATTCTATGTAGATCCGTATGGCTAGGAGTTGTTGGGGTTTGTGAAATTATTGTATGTATGCTCTATCGTAAAAACAAATTCGAGTTTTTTTAAACAGAGTATCTATAATTTTACAGGACATTTTTACATACATATATTCAGGCACAAATACCTATCAATAATCATTTTCAAAATCTTAAAAGTTAAATGGTACAAAAATTGTTGAAAGCAATGAGGGGAATGTGAAATTTATGGACCGATTATGCATGGAAAACTTCAGTTGAGTTGCTAGTGGCTGAAATCATATTACGGGAGGCCACTGAATTTTGTAGTTATTGTGGAAATTAATACTTCTCCTGCTATTGCTGCACATCGTTCGCACTCATTTCAGAATGGCTTGTTCCTCATATTACTATTATCTATAATTTTATAGCACTTGACAATAGTTTATATTTAAAATACAACTCAATTGAGGTTGCGTTGATATCCATAATCGGCTTTTTAATACCTACAAACATAAATATACATATATTAAAAACTAATAGTGCCACAAAATGTACATATATGAATAGATATTTAAAACTAATAGTGCCACGAAGTTATATAAAAGAATCATGTAGTTAAAAAATAAATCTTGTACGCGGTGATCTTTTAGTGCTGGAATGGTTCTAATTACCGTCCACATAATTAATATATAGATCACACGTATTAATATGTACATATATATATCTTATCACTAACGTATGCCTTCCAAGCAATTTGCTTTTACTGTTGCAGCACCCAAACCAATTTCTGCCGTATCTGACGAATATGATAATGTACCAAATTTATTTGAACCTAAATATAGTGAATCACCCTCATTTTTCTTATTAAATTCGTGCACGTTTGCCACATCCGTTTCTAAATGCATTTCGAAATCAGTCTTTGTTATTGATGTTGAATTTTCATACATTGTACTATTATGTAGGTTCTCAGTTACTGGAACCGTAAGAGCTGTTGCAGACATCTCTGCTTCCATTGCCTCTTCCAGTGTACTGCTTTCATCAGCATCTATAGTGGCATCTTCCACATCCGCATCATCAGCGAAACTCCTGTTCAACTTATCAATGAAGTCATT